GAAAAGTGGAAATTTTGAAAGAAGATAGTGGTATTCGACACAGGCTAGTAACATTCCGGAACGACCTAAAACCTTGCTAAGTGCTTCGGCGGGGAAATTTCTGTTTCCTTTTTAGAAACCCTCATTGCCGTCATCGATATGTTGTGTTTGCTGGACGAGCTGATGCCATATTTACACCTTTTTTTGATCCTCTTTCTAGTCCCATGGTTGAGTTTTATTTATCTTTTTTCATACAAGGAATAAGAAGCAGCTTGCTTTCTCTTTCTGTTGTTCGATTGGCTGGTTATTTTTGGAGCTTCTGTTTTTGCACTATAAATTTTGAGTTATAAATTATAAATTTTAAGTTACAAATTTCTCCCATTATAAATTTAAATTATAAATTTTTCCCATTCTAACCTCCAAATTTTAATTTTATTTTCTTTTAACTATACCATATTGCATATTTCTAATATTTCTACTGAAACCTTCACACTGATGAGATCCAGTTGCAGCACTGAATGGGAATGTATGCGACTTAATGAACCGAAACATTCCAATTCAGTTTTTGCTTTTAATTATTATTTTCTTTTTGGTTACAACCTTTCCCATAATTCTGCAAAATATGCAAATTATTTTTGCAGATGTGTAGAATTGAATCCGGCAAATTATACGGTCTGGCAATATCGGCGTGCTTTGCTGAAAGCATTGAAAATTGATCTGAATAAGGAATTTGATTACATTGCTGAGGTGATCGAAGACAATCCTAAGAACTATCAAGGTCTGTTTATCCTTCAAAAGACAATGCTGTTCTTCCAGTCCCACAACCATATCGTTTCTCCTTTTGTTTCCTCTTGCCGTTTTCCTCTTTTCTTTTTCTTTTCCATTAAGCACTGAGATCATCATACTGACGAGGTCCTGCCACGGTGTTGAGTTAAGACGTATATGATTTAATGGTTACCATTATTCTGTTACCACAATCGTCGTACTGACGAGTTCCAATTGTGGTAACGGTAAGAAATGTATGCGACTTAATGGACCGAAACATTTCTTACCTATAACAAATAT